CCCCCCCCCCCCGCCGCCCGTGCACAAATTTTTGTGCACCGGGCCTCTAGTATATATATAAAAGCTTAAGCAACCAGTCGACCAATTGCTATGACGTGCACTGACCACCAGGGGGTAGATGCTCAACACAGGAGCTGCCCCCTGGTGGTCAGTGCTCTCCCACAGCGGGAGCAGCACTCAGCTGACCGATGGGTGCCAGACACAGAGCTCACGGCTTAGCCAGCCTGAAAATGGCCCTCAGCCCCTCACCCAGACTGGCCAGGCACCCCAGGGGGGACCCCCTACCCTGAAGGGGCTGTGGCCAGCCTGAAAACAGCTATACTATACTGCCAGAGATTGCATCAAGCCTATCAAGCAGGGGCAGCAGGCGCAGCGGGGCCTGGATGAGCAGGCTGGCGGTCTTTCGGGCACTTCTATACTGCTATACTATACTACCAGATAGGATAGTATAGTATAGTATAGTATAGCAGTTCTATACTATAGTATAGCAGTTCTATACTGCTATACTATAATATACTAACAGCTATACTATACTACTAGAGATTGCATCGAGCCTATCAAGCAGGGGCAGCAGGCGCAGCGGGGCCTGGATGAGCAGGCTGATGATCTTACAGCAGTTCTCAACCTGTGGGTTGCAACCCTTTGGGGGTTGAACGACCCTTTCACAGGGGTCGCCTAAAACCATCGGAAAACACATATATAATTACATATTGTTTTTGTGATTCATCACTATGCTTTAATTATGTTCAATTTGTAACAATGAAATTGGGTGTCACCACAACATGAGGAACTGTATTAAAGGGTCGCGGCGTTAGGAAGGTTGAGAACCACTGGTCTAGTAGTTACTATAAAGTGCAGTCTTCAGTGTGCAGCTTAGTGAATATGTGTACACCAGACCATTGCCATTTTGAATGTCACCCTGCTGCTTTCTCTTCTCAGTGGAGGCCTCTGGGCATTGTTGTCACGGCCTTTTCTATGATCCAATAGATGCCCACAAATCGGGCACAGAGAGCCGATTCTCCTGCATCTTGGGCATGTGAACATTTTGGGGAAATAAAAAGCAAAAGGTTTTTAAAACACATGCTTTTATTCTTCTCTGCCACAATTTTTATACCTCGTCTTTGACATGGGAGAATTGGCCTTATGTTCATTTGTTTAAGAAATAGAAAATCTGATTATCACTTGGTTACTCCTTTACGCTTAATTTGACATGATTACCTATCATATTGCCTCGTAGAGAAAGCAGAACTCACAGTTAGTAGGTAAACATTTTCACAAATTTTTACCAAAACTACCCGCCCTTGAAGTGTGTGGCTGTTGGTCCCACGGCTTGTGCAGTGTCTCCGTATGCTGACTGCCTCCCTAGATGGCATCTCTCCTCATCTGTCCACAAGCTTGTGCTGCTGCACTCACTGTGTCTCGCCTTCCCTGCTGGAGAGTGGGTTTGACTCGTTGTCCTCTTCCTCTTTATGTTCACCAGTGGATCGGATTGTGGGCCTGGATCAAGTCACTGGTATGACGGAGACAGCTTTTGGCTCTGCCTATAAAACCAAGAAGGGCATGTTTCGTACCGTCGGCCAGCTCTACAAAGAGTCTCTCACCAAGCTGATGGCGACTCTCCGCAACACCAACCCCAACTTCGTTCGCTGCATCATTCCAAACCACGAGAAGCGGGTATGTGTCCAGCACGTGCTGGGATCGGACACTGAACGAGGTCGGGGTAGAGCGGTTCAAAGATAACACTCTCCTTTGCTGGTCAGGCTGGGAAACTGGACCCGCACCTCGTGCTGGACCAGCTGCGCTGCAACGGTGTGCTGGAAGGCATCCGCATCTGCCGCCAGGGCTTCCCCAACCGGATCGTGTTCCAGGAGTTCCGGCAGAGGTATGGGCCGCGCGCTCACCTTTTCCACGTGCCTCGCAGCATGAGGTTGGGAGGCACCTGGAGAGATGAGGTATGGGCCGCGCGCTCACCTTTTCCACGTGCCTCACAGCATGAGGTTGGGAGGCATTCTTTTCCTGTTCCCTGGAGAGTCCGATTTCTTCACATGTAGGAAAGGCTAATCCTTATTACCTTCACTTTTGGTCAAGACTATTGAGGGCCTGCTTCATGGGGAGGTCGTGCTGTGACTGCTGTGGTGCTTCAAAAACTGCTCTGTCTGCAGGGTCAGCTGAGGCTTACAGTTGCTCATTTAAACAGTTCCATTTGGGGCTTGAACTTTTTTTGTTGTTTTTGTTAATTCTCATCTAACAGTATTTTTCCATTGATTTTTAGAGAGAGTGGAAGGAAGGAAAGGAGGGAGGAAGTTTACAGCATTTTTAGAGAGAGTGGAAGGAAGGAAAGGAGGGAGGGAGGGAAACATCAATGTGAGTGAGACACATCGATTGGTTGCCTCCCATACTCACCCCCACCAAGGCTGAGCGAACCTGCAATCCAGATATGTGCCCTTGACCTGGAATTAAAGCCCAGACACTTCAGTGCTCAGGCTGATGCTCTAACCATGGAGCAACACCTACCAATGCTAAACATAATTATTATTTTTTAATATATATTTTTTATTGATTTCAGAGAGGAAGGGAGAGGGGGAGAGAGAGAAACATCAATGATGAGAGAGAATCATTGATCAGTTGCCTCCTGCACACCCACTACTGGTGATGGAGCCCACAACCTGGGCATGTGCCCTTGACCGGAATCAAACCCAGGACCCTTCAGTCCACAGGCTGACGCTCTATCCACTGAGCCAAACCAGCTAGGGCCATAATTATTTTTTAAGCTGATATTTTAAAATACAGTCATGCCCCCATAACAATGTTTTGGTTAAAGACAGGCCACACCCTAGTCAGTTTGGCTCAGTGGATAGAGCATTGGCCTGCAGAGCAAAGGGTCCCAGGTTCGATTCTGATCAAGGGCACGTACTGTGGTTGTAGGCTCCTCCCCGGCCCAGGCCCTGGTTGGGTCACGTGCCAGAGGCATCCAATCAATATGTTTTTGACATGGGAGAATTGGCCTTATGTTCATTTGTTTATTTTAAGAAATAGAAAATCTGATTATCACTTGGTTACTTCTTTAATTTGACATGATTACCCATCATATTGCCTCATAGAGAAAGCAGAACTCATAGTAGGTAAACATTCACAAATTTTTACCAAAACCTTTTGGCTGCTTTTCTTACAGATACGAGATCCTCACTCCACCCAACTTCGTTCGCTGCATCATTCCAAACCACGAGAAGCGGGTATGTGTCCAGCACGTGCTGGGATCGGACACTGAACGAGGTCGGGGTAGAGCGGTTCAAAGATAACACTCTCCTTTGCTGGTCAGGCTGGGAAACTGGACCCGCACCTCGTGCTGGACCAGCTGCGCTGCAACGGTGTGCTGGAAGGCATCCGCATCTGCCGCCAGGGCTTCCCCAACCGGATCGTGTTCCAGGAGTTCCGGCAGAGGTATGGGCCGCGCGCTCACCTTTTCCACGTGCCTCGCAGCATGAGGTTGGGAGGCACCTGGAGAGATCGATTTCTTCACATGTAGGAAAGGCTAATCCTTATTACCTTCACTTTTGGTCAAGACTATTGAGGGCCTGCTTCATGGGGAGGTCGTGCTGTGACTGCTGTGGTGCTTCAAAAACTGCTCTGTCTGCAGGGTCAGCTGAGGCTTACAGTTGCTCATTTAAACAGTTCCATTTGGGGCTTGAATTTTTTTTTTGGTGTTTTTTTTGTTTGTTTTTTGTTAATTCTCACCTAACAGTATTTTTCCATTGATTTTTAGAGAGAGTGGAAGGAAGGAAAGGAGGGAGGGAGGGAAACATCAATGTGAGTGAGACACATCGATTGGTTCCCATACTCACCCCCACCAAGGCTGAGCGAACCTGCAATCCAGATATGTGCCCTTGACCTGGAATTAAAGCCCAGACACTTCAGTGCTCAGGCTGATGCTCTAACCATGGAGCAACACCTACCAATGCTAAACATAATTATTATTTTTTAATATATATTTTTTATTGATTTCAGAGAGGAAGGGAGAGGGGGAGAGAGAGAAACATCAATGATGAGAGAGAATCATTGATCAGTTGCCTCCTGCACACCCACTACTGGGGATGGAGCCCACAACCTGGGCATGTGCCCTTGACCGGAATCAAACCCAGGACCCTTCAGTCCACAGGCTGACGCTCTATCCACTGAGCCAAACCAGCTAGGGCCATAATTATTTTTTAAGCTGATATTTTAAAATACAGTCATGCCCCCATAACAATGTTTTGGTTAAAGACAGGCCACACCCTAGTCAGTTTGGCTCAGTGGATAGAGCATTGGCCTGCAGAGCAAAGGGTCCCAGGTTCGATTCTGATCAAGGGCACGTACTGTGGTTGTAGGCTCCTCCCCGGCCCAGGCCCTGGTTGGGTCACGTGCCAGAGGCATCCAATCAATATGTTTCTCTCTTCCACTCTCTCTAAAAGATCAATAGAAAAATATCCTCAGGTGAGGATAAATAAATAAAGACAGGCCACATATATGACAGTGGTCTCATAGATTATAATGGAGCTGAAAAATTCCTAGTGACCTCACAGCCATTGTAAGGTTACAGCACAACACATTCCTCATGTGTTCATGGTGCTTCTGGTATAAACAGACCTGCTGAGTTGCCATTCATATAAAAGTACAGCACATACAATTATGTACAGTATATAACAGTGGTTGCCAACCGGTGATCCGTGAGGTCCGAAAGGTTGGCTACCGCTGGTGTATAACATTTGATAATGTAATAAATGACTACAGATTTATGTATTTACTATACTTCACTGTTTATCATTATTTTAGAGGGTACTCCTATTTTTTAAAAATGTTGTTGTAAAACAGTGTGCCATGTTTTATTGGCAGCAGCCTCACTATCTCATGTTTCCCGCATGTCTGATTACATCATCTTCTCTGTGCTTCATTTAACTCAAGTTTTGTACAGTAACATGAACAGGCTTGTAGCCTAAGAAAAATAGGCTATACCATGCAGCCTAGGTGTGCAGTGGGCTATACCATCTAGGTTTGTGTAAAAATAACAGAAATGGATGCAATAGAAATGAATGAAAACTTATGATGGGAAATTGGTTTTTTTAATGTATTGCATAATTTTCTTTAATATTTAGTTTGCTTTTTTCTCCTGTCTTTGTTGTTCCATAAAGTAAACAAGCCTGCCATCATAGGATGGCCCTTTCTCCCACTGTTCCAGAGGGAATCCCGTTGAGCAATTATTCCAGCTGTTATGGGTTTGGGGGAACTTGTATTATGGCCTCATTGTATGATAAACAGTCGGGTAGACTCTCCTTTTTTTATGGGTAGGAGAAAAAGGAACATAATTGACATCCAGAGGACAAAGTTGATGGTGTAGCCAGGATTCATCTTTAATATAGCCAACTACCTATTTGCTCCACTTTATTTTTATTGAGGTGTAACTACATAAAGCACACAAATCTTTTTTTCTAATTACACTTTACATTCAATATTATTTTGTATTAGTTTTAGGTGTAGAGCATAGTGGTTAGATAATCATATGCTCTACCAAGTGGTCCCCTGATATATCCAGTACCCACCTGGCGCCATACATCTACTAGGCTACACTAATAAAAGAGAAAGTGCTGTTTCCTCTCCAAGCAAACTGGGGCTGCTGGGTTGAGAGGAACCTCCTATTTTTGACTCCAATTTCCTAAGAGACTCTTGAACTGGCCTGGCAGTCACCTCTTCCCACCCGTGACTCACGGCGCATGGGTGCATGCGTAGCTGGCATTTTCAGGTGACGTCTCTTGTCCTGGCCCCTCCTCTCTGCGTCCCGGTCGTGGGTCCCAGGGACCTAGGAAGAGGTGGAGGTGTGTAGAAAGGCTCTTAGCCACAGAGATCATAGAGGAGCCATTTGTTCAGTGGCCCGTGTTTCCTGAGTTAATTCCCCTGGTGTGTGAAGTGAAGACAGGCCAGGGATGCACGGTGCGTCCTGTTGCCCGTGGGACACTTTCAAGGGGAAGACGCCCTGGCCAGGGAAAGCTTCCATTGTACACGGTGTTTGCATGGTGATGACAGGCACATCCGTCCCTCTCCACCTCCGTTTGCTCAAGTTTAAATCCGTTAAGACAGCGAATCCCCCTGCTCTGACTTCTTGCCCAACAAATGATTGGCAACCTGCCTATTTGCCAGTTTTCTATAGCAAGAAAATGTGCTGTCTGGCCAACATAACTATTCTAGTCCTTATAAACTCATCTACACTAATAAAAGAGAAAGATGCAAATTGACCGTACCTTCATGACACCCACCAGCCAATCAGGAGTGGGTATGCAAATTAACCCAACAAAGCTGGCTGGTTAATTTGCATGTGCAGGGGCCGAGCAGCCAGGGGTAGGGTGGGATGCTTGCGTCGTCGCCATGTGGGAAAGCGGAAAGGCGGCTCCGAGTTGGAAGGAAGGCAGAAAGGTGGCTCCGGGGGCAGCAGGCGCAGCGGGGCCTGGATGAGCAGGCTGGCGGTCTTTCGGGCACTTCTATACTGCTATACTATACTACCAGATAGGATAGTATAGTATAGTATAGTATAGCAGTTCTATACTATAGTATAGCAGTTCTATACTGCTATACTATAATATACTAACAGCTATACTATACTACTAGAGATTGCATCGTGCTATGATGTGCACTGACCACCAGGGAGCAGATGCTCAACACAGGAGCTTCCCCCTGGTGGTCAGTGCGCTCCCACAGCGGGAGCAGCGCTCAGCTGACTGATGGGCGCCAGACGCAGGGCTCACAGCTGGCCGCCACAGCCCAGAGATTGCATCAAGCCTATCAAGCCGCGGCAGCAGGCACAGTGGGGCCTGGATGGGCAGAAGCAACAGGCGGCGTTGGACTGCCAGTTTTGGCCCGATCCCCACAGGCCACGCTGAGGGACCCCATACACCCAGCCTCTAGTAGTTACTATAAAGTGCAGTCTTCAGTGTGCAGCTTAGTGAATATATGTACACCCAGACCATTGCCATTTTGAATGTCACCCTGATGCTTTCTCTTCTCAGTGGAGGCCTCTGGGCATTGTTGTCACGGCCTTTTCTATGATCCAATAGATGCCCACAAATCGGGCACAGAGAGCCGATTCTCCTGCATCTTGGGCATGTGAACATTGTGGGGGAAATAAAAAGCAAAAGGTTTTTAAAACACATGCTTTTATTCTTCTCTGCCACAATTTTTATACCTCGTCTTTGACATGGGAGAATTGGCCTTATGTTCATTTGTTTATTTTAAGAAATAGAAAATCTGATTATCACTTGGTTACTTCTTTAATTTGACATGATTACCCATCATATTGCCTCATAGAGAAAGCAGAACTCATAGTAGGTAAACATTCACAAATTTTTACCAAAACCTTTTGGCTGCTTTTCTTACAGATACGAGATCCTCACTCCAAATGCTATTCCTAAAGGCTTTATGGATGGCAAACAGGCTTGTGAACGAATGGTAAGCTTTTCTTGATTTTTCTGCTTTGTGGACTATTGATACAATCTTTTCCGACAGCAAAAAATAAATGAACTCTTTCGCTTTTAGATCCGGGCTTTAGAATTGGACCCAAATTTGTACAGAATTGGACAGAGCAAGATATTTTTCCGAGCTGGAGTTTTGGCACATTTAGAGGAAGAACGGGATTTAAAAATTACCGACATCATTATCTTCTTCCAGGCCGTTTGCAGAGGTTACCTAGCGAGAAAGTAAGTGGGCAATCATAAAGGGGGTGGGAGGTGTCTCTTCTGTGACAGATCAAAAGAAGGACATAGTTAATAGAGCAGGACTACAGACCGCCAGCCAGGGAACGGGAGGGACCCTGTCGCACTGTCGGCATTGCCTCAGACCCGCGGTGTGGGACGTGGTAAATGGCAGCCACTGTCAGGCAGCATCTCTGAAGAAAGGGGAGGGCGTCCGTGATGCGTGCCTGAGGCTGGCTGGGCGGCTCATGAACTGACCTGGGCTCCAGCAGCAGCCGGTTCCCGTGGTGTCACTGAGGGCTTGATTGGATACATGGACCCACTCCGTGTCTTAGCCAAATAAGAATGGTTGCCTTTAGGAAGTGGTCTCATGACAACCGCCGTTAAGACACGCTTTTCTTTACGTGACGAGTTTTTCCTGCTGTCCTTCAGGGCCTTTGCCAAGAAGCAGCAGCAGCTCAGCGCCCTGAAGGTCCTGCAGCGGAACTGCGCCGCGTACCTGAAGCTGCGGCACTGGCAGTGGTGGCGCGTCTTCACGAAGGTGGGCTGCGGGCTCTCCACGGAGCGGCGATCGCCCAGGGACCACCCTCTGGCAGGAGACGTGATGATAAACTGCTTAATTTTGTCACAGGTGAAGCCGCTCCTGCAAGTCACTCGCCAAGAGGAAGAACTTCAGGCCAAAGATGAAGAGCTGCTGAAGGTGAAGGAGAAGCAGACCAAGGTGGAAGGGGAGCTGGAGGAGATGGAGAGGAAGCACCAGCAGGTGTGTGCGCTGGCTTCTTACAGGGGCACACGTCCCAGCTGACGTGAGCGCCCCCACTGGCAGGAACTCGCACACGTTTCATTGTGGTTGCTGTACCCGCATGCCATCTTAGTTGATGCGTATCTGTCACTCCTTTCCAAAGCGTAGGCATTCGAGAACAGACAACACATCCGTTATGCCCTGCATTTGTCTTTATATGAACCAAAGTCAGCCTTGACTCTTGCATTTTGTCTTTGTTGTATTTGAACACGCAGATGAGCATGTCTGCTTATCAGACATGTATTTGCACCTGTTTTCAATGAGACTCCCAGTGTTATCACCGTCCTGTCACTGCTCATGGGGGAAATAGAAAAAGGTAAAAGGATGAGATGGTGCAAGGCCACCACCTGCCTCTCCGCAGTGACAGTGGTCTCCAGTCCATGTCCCTTCCCAGGCAGTGGTGCTTCATGACAAATAGAGGCTCAAGAACTGTTTATAGATGACAGTGATAGAACTGGAGTGTTCAAGGCCAAAAAGATTAATAATAAAGGCCAAAAAGTCACTTGATACCAAACAGCTTTAGCAGTCACCATAAACTTTATTACATTTGAGTGTTTTCCCTCTCCTGTTTTTCTGTCCCTTCATAAATTATCTTAATAGAAGAATGGGAGTTCTTAAAATAGCATGAGTTTAATATGCTACAACTTGAGACAGCAGAAACAACTAAAGTGTTTTCATCTGGCTTATTTTGCTACAGCCAAAAACATGCTTGAAAGTTTTGCCAGTGGCGGTAATATATTTGTAACTTTCCATTTCTTTGGTGCATTGACCACTGAGATCTTGGTGACTGTACCTTGCGTGTGTGCTAAAGGCAAGTCCTAGTCCTGGGCGCTGTGTTGTGATTGCAGCTCTTAGAAGAGAAGAACATCCTTGCAGAGCAACTGCAGGCGGAGACTGAGCTCTTTGCTGAGGCAGAAGAGATGAGAGCCAGACTCGCTGCTAAGAAGCAGGAGCTGGAAGAGATTCTGCATGACTTGGAGTCGAGGGTGGAAGAAGAAGAAGAAAGAAACCAAATCCTCCAAAATGAAAAGAAAAAAATGCAAGCGCATATTCAGGTATCTGTGATCACTTTTATTTAGAATTCTATTTTGGGTTTTCCAAGTGAACCTATTGAATGAATAGAAGCTATGGGTTTAGATTCTTAATGTGTATTTTTTTATTGTTGTTAATCCTCACCCGAAGATATTTTTTCCATTGATTTTTAGAGAGAGAGGAAGGAAGGGGGAGAGACAGAGAGAGAACACTGATGTTGTGAGAGAGACACATCAATTGGTTGCCTCCCACACGCGCCCTGACCAGGGCCGGGGATCGAGCCTGCAACCCAGGTATGTGTCCTTGACCAAAATCAAACCCAGGACCCTTCAGTCCACGGGCCAATGCTCTATCCACTGAGCCAAACTGGCTAGGACTCTTAATGTGTATTTAGGGCAAGAGGAGTCTAGGTTATAAGTACCTACTCTAAAAGATGACCATCATTCGGAGCGCACAAGTAATAGATTTCTTCAAGCAGATTTATTGTTTTGAAGAAGAATCTTTTTCATGTTCTGATGTGGCATCTTACAGTATGCAAAGTGACTCAAAGTAGAACTCCCAAGGTCTGTAACCTTTTGTAGGGAACATAATTTGTCCTTTGTGTTGTCATTAATAATTTTGCGCTCACTCCATTCATTAGGCATGTATGAGGTGGTTTGGTTCATAAGAAATGCTTAGCACTGACATAGGAGGTGGCCAGGAATCAGAATAAAACACTCAGTCCTTGCTGGTGGCTACTTTCTTACAGATACAAACTGTACAGGAAGCACAGCTATCGCTGTGGGTGAATTCTCACACACACAGTAGTTGCTCTGCGCGTGCCCTCGGACACACCCCCCTCTCTTTCTCCTGCCTCCCTCCCTCGGCCTATCCAACATGCTCCGAGTGTCAGGGCATCTGTATCTGCCACCTTCGCTTCAAACTAAGCTCCCTTTCCTCCATGTCTTCCCCTTAATATTTTCTTACCCCATAACTTATTACAAAACACAGATAATTCAGATGTTTGTCAAAACCACAAAGGGTATATTATTTCCTTGGCAGATACCCCATACAGTAAATCATCGGGACACTTTCCGTTCTTCAACGTACACAGCTTTCAGATAACCCATAATAAGTTAACAGAATATCACAAAAGCTGTAAAAAGTGAAAAACCTTTAATTATCAAGTCTAATCCTAGACTTTATTCAAAGAATCAACCAATGGAAGCCATCTAGCTACCTAACATTGAGGGGTTATTAAACCAGGGCAATGCTATACTGTTCTAAATGTTTATTTTCATGGGCACTTATAATATCTTGATAGAGATAGTTGCAAAATAGTATACACAATGGATCTAATTTAAGGTATTTACAGAACATAAATTTATATGTAGGATTTTATATGGGAATATGCAGATCCAGAATCACACCAACAACAGTGTTTCCCTGGGGGCATTACCAGCAGTTTTGATTTTCTGTTCTCTTTGTTCATTTCAGTAATATGTTTTACTCATGGGGGAAGGACCCCGAATTCACCTCTAATTCCCCAACCTACTTTTTAATATAAACTCTACATTTTAACAACTTCCAATAAAATACTTGCATTTCTCTACTTTACTTAGAAAACAAATATGTCCTTGTAGAAATAGGGTGTTTTTATTTTGGTTTGGTTTTTCAAGGCTTTTATCTTTCCGTTCTTTACCAGACTCTCTTATAATTCTAGGGTTTTGCACTGTTAACTTATTCTCTCTCTTTGTGACATGTAAACTCATTCAAACACATTCTAAAAATATTTACGGTAATATTGTTATTATTAAGTGTTCTTGTTTTTCCTCATGAAATACCAGAGGTTCACGCTATTAACTGCATGGGCCGTGGGAAGATCCAACCTTGTTGCCCCCTTACTTTTCTTTTTTTCTCTGAGGTTTGGTCCCAGTGTGCAAATCTTATTTGGATTTTAATTCAAACAAACTAATGTATGTTTAAGTGGCCTTTATCTTTTAGTGATTCCTACCGCCTGGTTTTCCAAATGAAATGTGTTTTGGATTTGCTTCAAAATAATGCTAAGGGAGAAGGTGGAGGCACAGAGGAAGTGAGGTTGGCCATGAGCTGATGCTTGTTAAGGCTGGGCTACTGCATCTGTGTGGGGCTCATTGTGCTGCTCTGTGTCCTTCATATCTGTGTCTGAGGTTTATACAATAAAAAGTTAGTCTTTCGCAAGGGTTTCGTTTCAGAATCAACCATGAGTAAATTATTTAACCAAAGTTATCCTTGACACTTTCTTAAATTGACCGTACATTGCTTTGTATGTACAACCTTGTGCAATCAGGTATATGTTATTTCGTACAATAATGTCAGCATATGAAATAAAGAGGAGCCTGTTATGATAAAAGTATGTGTAAACACCAGAAGCCCACCCAGTTTGGTGACGTGCTTCTGTGGTGAAAGGAGACAGCCCACTGCCAGGCCCTCTCCTCTTTCAATTGTTATGTTCTGTTCTCTCAGCTTGTGGCCAAACATATAGAGTAGAAACAGATACGTATGTGTTTGATGTAGTTCTATATTATTCATATTTCCCTGTGTTACTAATTCAGAAATAGGAAGTTTAATTACTATATGTTATCCTATTTTATAAATAAAATGCCAACTTTTAATTACCAAGACTTTTATGTAGTGTGTTCATAGTTCCTCAATATTACACATATTTAGCTCTGGCTGGTGTGACTCAGTTGGTCGGAGCATCACCCCAGACTCTCTTATATTTCTAGGGTTTTGCAAAAGGTGGCGAGTTCAATTCCTGGTCAGGGCACATACCCAGGTTGCAGGTTCCATTCCTGGTCTGGGTGCATATGGGAGGCAACAGATCAATGTTTTTCTGTCAATGTTTCTGTCCCTCTGTCTCTCTCCCTTCCTCTCTCTCTAAAAATCAATTTTTTTAAAAATTTCACTTTTTTATATGAATCACATCTGTTACTATTTCCTGACATTGCTGGCTTAACAGAAATGCTTGTTTTCAAAGCTTGCTGCACTTTCTCGTGCTGGCTTCCAGAAGGATTGACCCAGTTTGTACGTTAACCTGTGGTTCATACAAATGTCTGTTTCACATAACTGCATTTCATATTTTTAAAAATATCCTTGCCAGCCCTAGCTGGTTTTCTCAGTGGTTGCAGGCTCATTCCCCAGCCCCAATCGGGGTGCGCACGGGACGCAACCAATCGATGTGTCTCTCTCATAGATGCTTCTCTGTGTCTCTACCCTGTCCTTCCATTCTCTAAAAATCAATGGAAAAATATCCTTGGGTGAGGATTAACAAGTAGATACATATGTATACATATATATCCTTGCCATCTGAGCATCACAAATTAGTGTTTGTGGGTTTTTGTTTTGTTTTTTCACGAATCGGCATTTCACGATGCATCCCTTGGTTATTTTTTTTTTTTAATATATTTTATTGATTTTTTACAGAGAGGAAGGGAGAGAGATAGAGAGTTAGAAACATCGATGAGAGAGAAACATCGATCAGCTGCCTCCTGCACATCTCCTACTGGGGATGTGCCCGCAACCCAGGTACATGCCCTTGACCGGAATCGAACCAGGGACCCCTTAGTCCGCAGGCCGACGCTCTATCCACTGAGCCAAACCGGTTTCGGCATCGTCCCTTGGTTATTCATGGCCGGGTTTGGTGGGATGGTGCAAGCTGACCATGTGTTCACAGGACCTGGAGGAGCAGCTGGACGAGGAAGAAGGGGCCCGGCAGAAGCTGCAGCTGGAGAAGGTGACGGCCGAGGCGAAAATCAAGAAGATGGAGGAGGAGATTCTGCTTCTTGAGGACCAAAACTCCAAATTTATCAAAGTGCGGATGTTTCCCTCCCAAGCTGCTATAGAATACGGGAATATTTCTGTGGATGCTGTCATGAAAGGGGCTTTAACCAAAAATTCTACAAAGATTCCAGATTCGTTCATCTTCTCCCTCAGTCTCTACCTGTATAGGTTTCTAAAGACACAGTCACAATGTAATGTTTTAAATCCACTAAGCATCCTTATAGTCCTTTAGACTTTCACTTGTGCCCTTTGTGCAAGTCGATCATTCATCGATGACTTGTCCTTGGGGCCCAGCATTCATTCGTCAGCGCTGGTTGTGGGAATCTGAAGGCCGGCGGCTGGGCCAACCCTGAGGGGTCAGCACCAAGATGATGAGCCTGCCGCCTCTTTGGAGGATGTGACCTGTTGGGGAGGCAGGGCCGGTTGTGTTCTAAGTTATACCAAACCCGAGTTGTTACTTTGAATGCCTTTTCTGAGGCAGTTTTTTCTGTTCAGGAAAAGAAACTCATGGAGGATCGCATTGGTGAGTGCTCCTCTCAGCTGGCTGAAGAGGAAGAAAAGGCAAAAAACTTGGCCAAAATCAGGAATAAGCAAGAAGTGATGATCTCGGATTTAGAAGGTTAGTGTTTGGGGCTAGAAAAATGTAGGACCGGGACATAGGAATGTTTAGATTTTACTTTAATCAGAACATGATAACAGAGGATGCATGGTGATTACTAATAGCCTTCGGTTTGTGTTTATTAAAACAGATCTAGTCACCACAATTTGTGATAGAATAGCAATAAATTCTTTTTAATTCACTTTTTAATATTAGATCCCGTGGTGAAACACGGTGCCCTTTGTGGCCATACTTGGGATCGAAGTCATGTTTGAGCTGTTCAGGCCCTTGGACTTGGTGGGTCTGATCCAGAAAGTGCGCCTGGGCTCCGCTTCACGACGGGACCGCTTCCTGCAGGGACAGAAGGGCCGAGGGTGACAGTGCCCACGCCAGTGGCAAAAGATAGTCAGGCATCCTGGGGGTTTTTGCAAAATCAGTCATGGCTTTCTTCAAAGAGAGAGAGAGAGAGAGAGAGAGGGAGAAAAGGGTGGATGTTGGGAAGAGCATAGGAAACCTTCCCTTCGGCGAGCAGCTGCGGGCGGTCTCCCCACGAGGGGAAGAGCCGATGCTTAACACCCAGCATCGTGAGGGCCGTGGGTCCTGCAGGGCGTGATTGCTCTTTCCAAAGCATTGCTTCTATAAGGGGGAGAAAGGAGTTTGTTTGTTTGTTTTTAATATTTAGGGCTTTGCGGTCTTTTTTTTTTTTTTAAGTATAGATCAGAGGTTGGGGAACCATTTTCCTGCCAAGGGCCATGTGGATATTTACAGCATCATTCACGGGCCATACAAAATTATCAACTTAAACATTACTCTGCTATATTCGGTCATTCACTTAACTAACTCACCCCAGTGCCTCGGCAGGGCCAGAGCAAGTGATTTGGTGGGCCTTTCATCACCTGCGGGCCAGACGTTCTCCACCCTGGTATAGACACAAGAAGGGCTGCCGTAGGAAATTACTTTCAGAGGCCGTTTTCCCAGTGTGTGGTCCCTCCTGGGGAAGGGCACCTGCAGCAGAGGTGCTGCTCCCTGTGTGATAGGCCAGCGATGCTCGGCCTCATCTCCTAGCATTGGGTTCCCGCTGCAGAGCACAAAGGCTTACAGGTTCCGTTGTTGTGAAAAGGCATCCAAGTGGAACAGGTCGCTGCTGTTGATTAAGGAACCATTGCCAAGTCCAAGAGGGGAGGGCAGAAAGCTGCAGAGCCCTCTGCCCTCTCTCCCTCACGTGTGGGAACGGCTGTCTTGGTTCAACCAGGGATTCCCCATGAAAGGGAGTGGGTGACAGGCCGTTGCCCACACTGCCAGCCTCGGCCGGGCCCCTCTGCAAACCCGGGCACAGCGATGGGCGCACCATGAGAAACTTTCCGATCGCTTCGCTCTAATAGCGTGCCCACTTCCCATGAAAGGACGTCCTTAGAACCCACCCAGCTTCTTCCTTAAAATACCCTCCTCCCACCAGTGATCTGCCTTCAGTTGGGTTTTGAATGACTCATTGGTACAGTGTTATCAGTGTTAAGAAGGCAAGGACATGCTTTTAAATAAAATAGCTTCTTTTTTACTTTAATCAGTTTGCATTTGGAGTTTTTCACGTGGCGTGTCCCTCAGTGTGTTGAAGGTCTGTGTCTTGCCTTAAAGAACGCTTAAAGAAGGAAGAGAAGACCCGTCAGGAGCTGGAAAAGGCCAAGAGGAAACTGGACGGCGAGACGACTGACCTGCAGGACCAGATCGCTGAGCTGCAGGCCCAGATCGACGAGCTCAAGGTGCAGCTGGCCAAGAAGGAGGAGGAGCTGCAGGGCGCGCTGGCCAGGTCCGCCCCCCAGAGCCCGTGGGACTGTGCTGTGTGGGCTTTCTGTCCGTGTCGGTGCAGACCCACACCTGGGAGGGAACACGTCATTTCCGAGTTGTTGGGTGCGGCATCCGAACCTAAAAACCCAGGAGCACGTCATTTATGTCAGGGCAGCAAGAAAACCTAAGCCGTTCTCAGAATTCACACTGAAACTCACTAGACTCCTCAGGAAATTCTTGGAAATTCACAGCAGAAAAAATGACCGTCACAGCAAACGTTTGGTTTCTGTCCACGTCGGTGTGTTCGAGAAGTTTAGAGAAATCACTTCAGAAAGGATACCCACCCCATACACTTGAAGCATGATTTGCTATTCAGTTCTAGACCATTAGAAACCATATGTAGTAAATATATTTATATCTAATACTTTCATTTCTTTAAAAAGAATAACTGTTTGGCTACATAGTCATAGGACTTAGAGTTTATAATTTATTATAATCAAAATCTATAACAGACATTTTTCTGTCCTCTACCACTGTTACTCTGACTTTGGCCAGATTTCTGCCTTTTCATTTACAGAGGGGAGAGCTAGATTCTAAAGTTAAAGTTCTCACCACTCACTGTCATGGCTGTCAGCTTCCCCTCGCTCATCACCAACATCCCAACTATGCCCAGTGAGGTATCTACCACATCCAACCACACCAGCAAGAAGATGCGGATGGGAGAGAGAGCGTAGGTGGGAGGCCTGGCGGCGGCGTGTCTCCTCTGCTGTGTGTTCTAAGGACTTTTCTGATTTTGCCGGTTCACTGTAGGAGGGCACCAGTTTGGTAGGCTAGACTGCTACCTTGAGCAGTGTTCTAAGGATAACATTTTACTTTATAGGGAATTTTTTCAGGTTCTAATCATGAAAGTGATTGTCTTATCTCTTAATGGAGATAGTTAGCCCTTTGCAAAGGGGGCTGGGCTCGATTCTGATTCTGGCTTTGCCAACCAGCTTTCGGGCCTGCAGGTCACTCACTGCCCGTGCGCCTCCGTGCCTGCCGGGCAGGCCCTGTGCCGCGCCAGGCTCGTGCCACGGCAGAGGCTGGGTAACCGGGTCTCCCTGTGGAGAGGTGCAGGGGCGGTCCCGCTGGGGAGCAGCCCTTCCGCGCCCCGGCTGAGTGCGGCCCGGGCCTGGCTGTTCTCACAGGGGCGACGATGAGACGCTGCACAAGAACAACGCCCTGAAGGTGGTGCGGGAGCTGCAAGCCCAGATCGCCGAGCTGCAGGAGGACTTTGAATCCGAGAAGGCTTCACGGAACAAGGCAGAGAAGCAGAAACGGGACCTGAGTGAGGAGCTGGAGGCTCTGAAAACCGAGCTGGAGGACACGCTGGACACCACCGCCGCCCAGCAGGAGCTCCGGTGAGCGAGGCCGGCGCCCGCGGGGCTCCGCACGAGAGCGGCTGACCTGGCGGGTTCGCTGGCCTCTTCAGGAGATGGTGTGCGTTCTTTAGGTTGTATTGTAAGTGTCCCCTCTCCGTCCTGGAAATAATGGCAGGTAGAACAGTAACAAAGTAACAGTGGTTAGAAGCAAGCCAGCCTACGCGGGTAGGTGGATGGACCGACAGACTGAGGTGCCCAGGGAGCTGTGATCAGAAAGCCTGTCAGTGCTGGGTATCTAAGGGAAATACGGACAGACACACCCACCGAGGCTGGAAGGAGACTGGCTTAGACCATGTGAGAGAGAGAGGATGGAGGACTAGCTGGGACAGACCCAGAGGAGGAGGTACAGGGGTGGCACGCATCTGCTGGCAGCACCACTGGTGAGCGAATAGATGGGAGGGAGGTACGTGTTCAGGACAAGGAGAGGAAGGTGAGGACAGGCACTCGGGGCAGGGGCAGGGGCAGGGGCTGTCACAGATGAGCCAGCCGCCAGGTGCGGGCAGAAGAAAGTGACAAGCACAGGCGAGGGAGCACAGCTGGCGACATTGCACGCGGCCTCCGCGTGTCAGCCAGAGTCGCAGAGAGCGATAGCCGCGAGCTGTGAGCAGAGGCAGCCTGTGGCTCTTGCTGGCGAGAGAGAGAATTCTCCTAGAAGCCGAGGTGTCGTCTCCCAGATGGCTGTCTTGGCCTCTTCCTGACCATCTGCTTCCCCCTCAAGACTCACGCGGCCAGGTGCAGGGCCCAGCTCAGGGAGCCCCAGCTCACTGTGGCTGGCAGGTTTGGCTGGCTGCTTGCAGTGTGCACTCGCGCACACACACACACACACACACACACACACATACACACACGCCTGCCAGCTGTTCCAGGGTGTGGTAGCCCATCGTGCTAAGAAGGAGGCTATGGGCAAAACAAGGACAAGGAGTCGTTAGTGAAGTCAGGCGGTCAGAGAGGTGGGAGGACCTGAGGACCTGGGGAGGCGGTGTGCTGGGGGAGCCAGTGGTGCCCTTCCCTGGAAGACGGAGCCTGCAACGTGCTCACCTGGGTGCTGGGACCCGGAGAGAACCACGTCCCCGCGTCTGCAGAGCAGGCTTCCTGGTCGGGTTGCAGGTGACAGGAGAGGGTTCAGGGGTGGAGAAGCAGTGGTGGGCCTAGAACACGCCAGGGACCTGCCACGGATCCCTAAGACGGCAGCGAACGGAGGCTGTGTCCCCAAAGAGGGCCCTGTCTCGGTTGGAGCCCATCTGAGGCTGGAGGCTCCCTGCCCACCTCAGCGAGTAACCCTGCTTGTAGGAGTTCTAAGTCCCGGCCTTCTCTAAAATGTCTGCTTCTTTTAAATTTGGAAACCACAGAACTAGACTTTGTTGAAATATTTCTTCTCAGCTAGTCTTTTGAGCACAATAGAAAAAGGCATTCTGATCACTTCTTCCATTCAACTCTTAGAAAATACATATTTTTAAGACAGTACAATTGATGCATGCATGTTAATTAAAGCCACGGCTGTCCTCAAATATAGATTCTGCTGTGTGAGGAATTACCGCGGCCTGCAACTCAGATGTGCTAGTGTTCGTGTGTCCTTCTCTCTGGCTGAGGACCCCCGTGCCCTGCCTCTCCAGCTGTGTATCACATGATTGGCATAAAGGGAACGGGCTCAGCAAGTCAGGACCCTCACTGGGCTCCATCTTCATTGGCATTTTAGCTCTTTAGGACTTAGGATGAAGATTGGCGGGGGGCGGGGGGGAGAGACATGCCAGACAGATGCATATTCACCGTCAGGCACCGTGGCTGAGCGAGGCTGGACCACAAGGAGTCTTTGCAGATTCCTTTTGTCTGGCTACCTGCCACCCCAGAGCTGGCAGCTGCCTGGGCCCCTTCTCTCGGCCCAGCTGACCTCTGCCCTCCAGATCCCACCACTCCACCAGCAACGACAGGACAGTGCGTCCACACGGGAGTCAGCGTGCAAGTCACTGTTCTAACTGTTCCTGGTTTAGTGTGGAGAGTGAAGTGGTTTTAATATAGAGCAAGGTTGCCAGAGCTCTGCTTCAGGATGATTCTAAGTTAAATTCGTGGTGTTAATATGGCACTTAGCTTAGTGGTTTCAGTCGTTGACAAGCTATATGCTTAAAGACAGTGTTCAGATCCACCCACTTAAAGAGTGACTTGGGCCCTAGTCGGCTCAGTGGACAGAGCATCGGCCCGCAGACTGAAGGGTCCTGGATTCGGTTCTGGTCAAGGGCATGTACCTAGATTGCAGGCTCGATTCCTGGTCCTGGGTAGGAGGTCACCAATCGGCGTCTCTCTCACATCAATGTTTCTCTCTCTGTCTCTCCCCCTCCCTTCCACTCTCTCTAAAAAATCAATGGAAAAATATCGTCAGGTGAGGGTTAACAAAACAAAAAGAGTGACTTGGGGTGAAGGCTTTTCTAGTTGGTGAAATAACATTGGTTTTTCAAGTTACCCAAATGTTATAACAAATTATAAAAAAAGTCAGAAAGCCAACTAAAAGCATTTGATAACAATGTGACCTTCATTCGGTGACTGCAGGTTGGATAAAGCCACCGGGCCTCCCGGGCTTCCCAGGTCTGTGGTCTGGGACCTGCCGTGTCTCCTCTCAGCTTCCAGAGACCCTTGAGCCTGGCATGCGGCCTCCGCCTGCCTCCTGCCTCCTGTCCGGCCTCCACGTGGCCGTGCCGGGCAGACGGGAGGATTAGTGACTGCAGCTCCCACGCTGTCAGAGAGGCTCCTGCTTCTCTCAGGTGCAGCGTCCGGACTGGTTTGACCTCCAACCCCCTCAGCTTCCGAAAGCCTCTTGGACTCACCTTCCCAGCCTCACTGAAGTGTGGCTGGCGCTGCAGCAGGCAGCCTGGCGCCCGTGTCAGCCGCTCCTGCCCTGTCGTGCGGCAGGGCTGCCGGAGCACCGTGGAGCCCTCAGGGCTGTCCACTGGGTCTCCAGCACAGTCAACTGTGGAGGGGAGCAGGCTGCTTCCGGAAGGTTCCCCGCACCACAGTTAGGGGCGCGCCAGCCTATTGGAAAATAGCGCCACAAATAATAAAGTAATGGATGTAGCATTTTTTTAAAGCATCACTTCTTTTTAATGTTTCCTTGATTTTTAAAAAATAAGTTTGTATTGATTTCAGAGAGGAAGGGAGAGGAAGAGAGAAAGAAACATCAATGATGAGAGAGAGTCATCGATTGACTGCCTCCTGCACACCCCCTACTGGGCATCAAGCCCACAACCTGGGCATGTGCCCCGACGGGAATCACCATGACCTCCTGGTTCATGAGTTGGTGCTCAACCACTGAGCCACACAGGACATAACAAATTAATTTTTAATTTAATTAGCCAGCTAATTCTGAGCTGCTTTCTCTAAAACACATTTCTCCAGTACAAAACGTGAACAGGAAGTGGCGGAGCTGAAGAAGGCTCTTGAGGAAGAAACTAAGAACCATGAAGCTCAGATCCAGGACATGAGGCAGAGACACGCGTCGGCCCTGGAGGAGCTGTCGGAGCAGCTGGAGCAGGCCAAGCGGGTGAGGGCGCCCTGCCCCGGAGAGCCGGGCCGGCCAGACCCCCTCCTCCCCACCCTCGCCCCGCAGTGTCCACTCCCCGCCTCTGCGGGCGCTGTGGCAGCTGCTTTCTGACGGCACCTGCTTTCTTCCCAAGAGCGGTGGGCCCAGCCACCATCTGGAAGCACATTTCCTCCCAGGGCCGCCTCTCACTCACCATCCTTCTCCGACGTCTCAGCTCAAGCAGCTGAGCAGTTTGAGGTCTTCCTCCCACTCATGTGCTGCCAGCGCGTCATCGTGTCCATCTGTCCCACCCCCACCCCCAACCCCACCCCGATATTTCACGTGTTCCTTATGCGCGTCTCTCCCTTGGCCCCCCTGCCTCTGACCTCAAGCCGCTGTACACATTGCTCCCTCTTGTGTGTCTCTAACACAGGCTTTCCCTCCTGATGAAACTAATTTCATTTACCCTCTGACTCAGCCTCCCTGGGCAGCGTTTCCCAGTCATTATCCTTTCCTCCACGCTCTGTGCCTTTGCTCCGACTTCCCCAGTGCTCTCTCCTCCTGCCCACATACCACCTTCCAGTTTATACAGTGACAACAGTAGCAGATACTGACATTCCCATCAGTATGTGTCTGTCGCTGCTAAGTGCTGTCACAGTGTGCGTCAGTCACGTGCACTGCCTTCTTAACCTTCATTACTGTCCTATAGGTTAGTCTCTGTCATTTTCACTCAAAGACGAGGAAACTGAGGCCCAGTCTCGTTAGAAAATTAAGCCAGGATCACACAGCTAGTAAGTGGAAAGGCAGGTGGAGGCCAGGCAGGAAGGCCACAGAGCCCCATGCCACCCCCAACTAGAGGGCTTTGAAAGCCTATCCCATGTCCCATGTCAGCCTACTGTGACCACCTTGCACCAGCACACACTGCTCACTCGTTTGTCACAACCACCTGAGACTTCGCAGAGCTCGCTTCAGACAAGGAGGACATGAATGACTCGTTACTCTTTGGACAGGATGTGCTCAGGGTGTCGCCCCCCAGCCTGCACTGACAAGGATAAATTACACAGTGCAGTGAGCCCCTAAATATCTGCACCCACTACCCCAAGCAGTATGCACACGTGTGTTCCTTCTACAGTACTCTCCACACAGCATAGCGGATGTTTCAGTCATTCATTCAGTGTTGACTCAGGCTCACTGTGTCAGGCGCAATCCGACAAACCAGCAAGCGGTGCCTCTCATGGCGTGTAATAAAGATACTGTTTTTCCCTCCCCCTCCTAGTTCAAAGCAAATCTGGAGAAGAACAAGCAGGGCCTGGAGACAGACAACAAGGAGCTGGCGTGTGAGGTGAAGGTGCTGCAGCAGGTCAAGGCCGAGTCTGAGCACAAGAGGAAGAAACTGGATGCCCAGGTCCAGGAGCTCCACGCCAAGGTCTCCGAGGGCGACCGGCTCCGCGTGGAACTGGCCGAGAAAGCGAACAAACTGCAGGTGAGCCCCGGCGACCACCGCGCATGCCCCACATGCCCCAGCTCGGCACACAGCTCCCCCGCTCCCCGCGGCCCTGCCACCCTGAGAGACCGCAGCCGATGTGCTGTTCAGTGCCTGGCGTCGCATCCACCTCAATGTCCCAGCGTAGGTCCCTCGGGTGCATTTCTGTGGTTGAGTTAAACTGCACTTAGGAATGAGACAGCATGAGTTGGCCTGAGCCTAGAGAATTCACAGTGAATCATAGACGTAGTTCTTTCACTGGTTTCAAGTACAACTTCAGCTTCTCCATCAGTCTAGTCAATAAGAGAGCAGGAACAATGGGCAAAAAAAATTGCACCTAGTCTTGGGGAAGGCTTGTGAAACTGGGATTTTGACACTGTGGTTAAGTGTAAGTTAACACAGCCTTCTCTGGAGGACAGTGGCAGTTTTGGTGCCACGAGCCTTGAGAATATGATACCCCTGCCCAGTGACTTCACGGCTAGAGGTCTGTCCCAGGGAAACCATTAAGGATGTGCACGCAGATTCCAGTCAGACTGTCCACTGCAGAAGTGTGCATAGAAGAATATAGCTGGAAGTATAATTGTTTTTATTGTTTGCACACTTAATGTGCAAACAATAAAAACAATTCAGTAGGAGTGTCTGTTGGTGCGAAAGATGTAATTACATGTGCTGCACTGTAACAATCAGAGCGTGTGGCGTGGAGACCCGGGGCCCGGCGTGCGGCCCTATAACAGCGGTGACTGACCACGGTGAAAGGCCCTCAGAGAGCAGCGCTGGCCCCTCAGCTGCAGGGGAGCCCAGAGACAGCGCCCAGGTGTGACTAGGGGCCGGGCACGGGCGCCCTCTGCCTGGCACAGACCAAAATGCCAGATCCAGAGGGAAGCAGGTGTTCGGCATAGACCAGTGTTCACACGAATGTGTGAAGTGGGAGGCCCTGCCCGCCCGCTTCACGACTCATCACTGGGAAGACTCCCAGGAACCCCGTGCTCCTGCTCCTGGTTGAGGCACAGCCAGCCGTTTGTCACGTGGGGAACGTAGGAGCCTCCCAAAGTCTAAGTTCCCTGACGCCGGCCAAGGGCCGCCTCGCGAGCGTCTCTCTGTAGCGGAATTGGGTGTGATGCTCAGGTGCTCACAGACCCACGCTTTCCTCAGAGCCCCCATGCGTGCGCCCTGCAGTTCCAAGCTCCCTGTCCTCTCCGTGGGGAGAGACGACGTCCTTGTCTGTGACAGCTGGGACAGTGCCTGCCCACGTGGGCACTGTTGGGAGGTGACAGGCTCTCGGTGAGAAAGTCCTCCTTAACCGAGTTGGCGGTCCTCCCCCAACGCTGCTTTATGCTCACGTGAGAGTGGTGGTTCTGGGCCGTTTATCTGCTCACTGACGGATTGCATGTAACTTTGCTCCTCCTCGCAGAATGAACTGGATAACGTCTCCTCTCTCCTGGAAGAAGCGGAGAAGAAGGGCATTAAATTTTCTAAGGATGCAGCTAGTCTTGAGTCTCAACTGCAGGACACACAGGTATTCCAGGGGGAGCGAGGGGCCTTTAATAACGCTGCTATTTCCGGAATCGATGTGTGAATTGCCTTCGGGTTTCTGGTGACTTCTGTCTGGAGCCACTTGCACTGACAGCCATGACATTCGGGAGCCCCTGAAGCTCAGGCTCAGTGCGGAGCCAGGTTCTGTCGCACAGGCGCGCGGGCCAGGCGGGGGCGCTGCCTGGGGCGTGGCTCGCCCACAGCGTCCTGTTGCACACACGTGTGTCGCTGGCCAGTTCAGTGAAGCGGTTTTGTTCTAGTTGAAATGTCAATACGCTGACCTAGGAGAAATCCATTTTGTAAAAGGGTGTGTTGAAGCTTGCTTATCGTACTTTCATGAGACTTGTGTTAAATTAGTGGTTAGGATGGCAGTTAGGTTAACGACCATGATAATATGAACATAATGTAGCAACTTTCTTGGAGTTTTACATCTTATTTTTGTTAAATTTTCAGACTTTCTATGGAGCGTATTTGCCAGGTTCTGGGCTGGGTGCTGGGGATACAGGTTAAAGATCGAGACACACAGGAGTGGCACCCGGAGGTAGTGGGACAGGGCCACTGTACTTGGGGCCTTCTCTGTGCCGAGACCCCTCCTGGCTGGTGAGGGACAGAGGGCCGCTCGCAGAAAGCTGCCTGTGCCTCTGACCGTGTTAAGTGGGAAGGACCTGTTTGCACTTACATTTTAGAAAAATTACTCGGGCAGAAAGTATAAAGGAGAAGCAATTGAAGGGTTGCCCAGTCCTGGAGGTAGTCATCCTCCTGAGAAATGCCAGTGCCGGGGTGGGGTGGGGCGGGGCGGGGCGGGGCATGGCATGGACAAAAATGGGGTCTAGAAGTGAGGAGGTGCCGGAAGGGGAGGCGTCTTGGCCACGTGCAGGTTCCTGGCCTGGGCTCTGGGTGGACAGAGGATGCTGCCATTCTTCCTGAATGAGTTTGAAGCAGAATTTGTGTTAAGAGCTTTTTTAACAGTGATGGCCAACCTATGACACGTGTGTCAGAGGTGACACACGAACTCATTTTTTTGGTTGATTTTTCTTTGTTAAATGGCATTTAAATATATAAAATAAGTATCAAAAATATAAGTCTTTGTTTTACTATGGTTGCAAATATCAAAAAATTTCTATATGTGACATGGCACCAGAGTTAAGTTAGGGTTTTTCAAAATGCTGACACACCGAGCTCAAAAGGTTCGCCATCACTGTTTTATAACGTGATCACATGTGTTTTTAAATCTTTTCTGTTTGTTAATATCACTGGGTATTTTGCATACACTGAGGCCCTCTGTGCTTTATGACGTGCATTTTTAATGAGGTCTTTTGTGGGGGTGATTAAGGTAACTGAAGTACCGACCTTTTATAAAATAAACAGGAGCTTCTTCAGGAAGAAACACGCCAGAAGCTGAACCTGAGCAGCCGGATTCGCCAGCTGGAGGAGGAGAAGAACAGCCTGCAGGAGCAGCAGGAGGAGGAGGAGGAGGCCAGGAAGAACCTGGAGAAGCAAGTGCTGGCCCTGCAGTCCCAGGTGTGTCCTCAGGAGGCGGTGGTGGCCTGGGGTGCGTGTTAGCAGCTCGTGTCCCCGCTGTGCTGGATTGCTTCAGCTCACATGGGACCGTAATTAGGTTGCACTAAATAAAGCCCATTAAGTGGTTTTTCTTTGACCCAGCCAAATGCCGGTGCTGTGCTGGCTCTGATATTGGAAGCATTTAAATTAAAGACACAGGCCCTGGCCAATGTGGCTCAGTTGATTGGGCGTCATCCGCGCACCAAGGGGTTGCTGGTTCGATTCCTGGTCGGCACGCCCATGTCGCAGGTGTGACCCCAGTGGGGGCCGTGCAGGAGGCAGCCGGTGGATGTTTTGCTACCATATCTGTGTTTCTCTCTCCCCCCCCCCACTTCCTCCCTCTGAAAATCAATAAAAAATATTTTAAAATAAAATAAAGACACAGGACTGTGTCAACTATGTAAGGTTTTAATCCCATCATCACTTTGTAGATTATTAGCTAAGAAATTAAGTTACAGTCTGAGATTAATTTGCTCAAAATCAAATAGCATTGATTTGTTATTTCTTCCCACAAAATATTGAAAACACGTTTTTTCTTTTTTCCTCAAATGTGAAAATCAGTTGACTTCTTTACTATTGATCTTTTTTTCTTGACGTAAAACCTAGTTGACTGACACAAAGAAGAAAGTAGATGATGACTTGGGAACAATTGAAAGTTTGGAAGAAGCCAAAAAGAAGCTTCTGAAAGACGGGGAGGCGCTGAGCCAGCGCCTGGAGGAAAAGGCGCTGGCCTACGACAAGCTGGAGAAGACCAAGAACCGCCTGCAGCAGGAGCTGGACGACCTGATGGTGGACCTGGACCACCAGCGCCAGATCGTCTCCAACCTAGAGAAGAAGCAGAAGAAGTTTGACCAGGTGGGTTCTTGCTCTGCGTCCCGTCTCCCTGACTCCAGAGCCAGTGCCGCCGTCCTTTCCTCCGGGCAGAGCTCTCGCTCCTATTTTAGTTTAAAATAATGTTTTCCTATTGGAAAGCAATATACCCTTACAGCAAAATTGGAAAAAGCAGAAAAGGAAAAAAGGGAACACCCATAATCTTGCAGCAGTGTTCTCAGCAATAGGTCAGACATGATGGGTGCGTCCACGTTGCTTTTGAACTTGTTTTTAACCTTTCCCGATGCCATTCCGTGCAGTTGCTGGCAGAAGAGAAGAACATCTCTGCTCGCTACGCGGAAGAGCGGGACCGCGCGGAAGCGGAGGCCAGAGAGAAAGAAACCAAAGCCCTGTCGCTGGCCCGCGCCCTCGAGGAGGCCCTGGAGGCCAAGGAGGAGTTCGAGAGGCAGAACAAGCAGCTCCGGGCAGACATGGAAGACCTGATGAGCTCCAAGGACGACGTGGGCAAGAATGTGAGTCCCTGGGCTGGCCCCTTCACCGGGGGAGCAGGCAGCTCCTTGGGGGGCCGGGGGAGCTGGGAGGGCCTGGCCCATGGCTAAGCACGGGGTTAGAGTCTTCTGGAACAAACGGCCAGGTTTCCTGCCGCCTGTTCCGGGTGTGGCGTTCCTGTAGCAGCACCTGCGGGTGGTGGAGACTTGTTGATTCTTGTCCCTTTCACGGGCCCTCCCGCCCTGACCTGCTCTGGCGGCCCTTTCACTGGAGGGGCTCGGTTCCTGAGTCAGCAGGTGGTTACCAAGCACGAGGGCTGCTCGGAGGGAGGCAGGTGGGATCTCTCCGCCCGAGTGGGGCCTGGAGGGGAGCGACTGGGCCTTCCCGGTGAGCCGCGTGTCTTCCCTGAGGACTTCAGGTGCACCGGGGACGTGCTCAGTCTGGGAGTTTCGGGGAACTGTTTCTCCTCCCCCCACCACCTCGCCCACAGAGCCGTGCTG